TAGCTTTGGCCTACACCCATGGAAGTACGGGCAAGTTTTGGAGCGGCTGAGGGCTCCAAGTTTTGGCCCCAAACACTTCGACATGCCTGGTCCCCCGCCTCATCTCACTCATCTCAAGGCCTCGCTTGCTCCTCTCTTTCCTCTGCCTCCTCTCCCTCGCATCTCTCTCCAACATCACACGAACCTGTCACAATTTAGATTCTCACGCTCTAGTTTAGGATAACCCCTACGCAAAGCAATGTGGCGCTAGGAAAGTCTATTTTACTGTATCGCAAGCCAACGGTTATTATTCCGCTAGGGAGTCCGACTCCCTGTTACGTAATACGCTAGCTACAGTATGAGGCAGAAGTGAGGGTGTCATACTCTACAGGCGTGGTTGGTGGTCTGGTGTAAGCGTAAGCTTACGCCGTATGCGTAAGCGTGGTTCGTGGTCTGGCGAACTAAAGGGTACACGTGAAGCGTAAGCTTTGGGAAGATAATTTGCTCGTCTATCACGCACCGGGTACTCCAATTACCTTGGAACTGTGGTTCCCCCCGTTTTTTCCTATCTTTTCATGTTTTCCTGGAACAACGACAGGTTTGTGTTTTGTCAAGTGTGCGCAGTTGCCCGTGACCATTCCCATTGTTGCTACAGGTAATTGTGCATGAGAATGTTAAAAAGCAAAGGTTAGTGCAGTGGGCAGGTCCGCGAAGTGTATTAGGACGACTTCAAGCTTTCTTAGCGCCCCGCACAACTTCGCGTATCTGAATTACCAAGACTTGTAGCTAGCTTTAGGTACAGTGCTTTCAAAGGTAATCAACCTAACTACAGTACACTCCGAGTGTCGACAGTCGAACTGCTCGGTTTTATGATCATCACTCGTGACGGCTTGACCCAAATGATGCCAGCTTGAACAACTTCCGCCGTGGCTGGCGGCATGGTGCGGCAGCTGAAATCCCGAGGCTCGCAGATTGGTCCGTGTGAGGCCCAAAGCTGGCACCGTTGTACCATGGCGCCGCTATGCTACGGAAGAAAAAAAATGCAATTACCCTGAATTTACTTTGCCAGAATCTCTCTCTTGATGTCATCTCTGGTGCTACTGGTGTTTGTCATGATGAACTCAACAAGCTTAAAGCAAAGCTATAAGCTCATTTTACGATTTCTATCAATCTTCATGTCATTTTGTTTCTCTGTTTCTTTATTGCAAATGCAGAGCTCGCCGCCGTCGGGGGAACCGGCAAGTGTCTTATACCACCGCTTGCATTCCACCATATTTTCATTTCAGAATCTCACAATCTCTAGTTTTTCACACTTCTCGGTACCACGGACCACGCGACACATCTCTTCTTCCTTTTCTGTTAGCACTTTTTGCTCCTTTACGCTTACGCCTCTCTTCGTCTTTTGTGTCTTATACTTATTAAGTAGTATACCATTTATCATGCCACCGTCATACTTTTGTCTATAACGTCTTGCAACCCACTCGGTCAGAATGAGGGTGTAATTTCGGCACAGCGGATGCTCCTAACACTAGCCCCACTATCTTTTAACAGTAGCCCATATGCGTTATAATGTCTGATGACGCATCATCTCGATGCCACGGGGTCCCACTGTTCATTCCTTTTCTGGCCTCTTCAGCTTCTTTATCCCCATCCTTCCCCCTTGAAGCTATTCACTGCATTTCCTGTACCCTTCTCCCTGTTCTCCCCCCATCCGCCTGTTACAGACAAAGGACGGAGTCTATGAAGAGTAGGGGCCGAAATATATCAAAATCGTTGGTCTCGATTTCTGGTCAGAAAACCGCGACTTCACAAGAAATGTCGTCGACGAAAATTGCATCGTTATTAGAATCGTCTCAAACTCGAGTATGTTATAGCCCTAGACTATGGCTATCATTCCTAATTTGAATCGTGTCAAAAGACGGAGCAAATCTCGAGTTATGATTTTTGGCGCACTAAGGGGTATGCTGCCACAGAAGTTTAACTCAATCACAATTAACTCACAAGTTCCACAAGAACCACAGAGAAGATTAGAGTAGCAAGAAACCAGGTAGGAGGGAAGAGAAGGACGAGAGGGAAGGTCCCAAGAGAGTCCCCAACCAAGGAAACCCCATGCCACACAATTCCCTTCCCCATAGGCAACCCAACTTTGACCTTTGTCACTATCCCAACCTCCACAATCCACCTCAACCCAACTTGGCCACACTTGCCAACCTGGTTTGGCTTCACCCAACTGTTTGGCAGCATCTACAGTGATGGGGACGAATTTCCCAACCCCAAAGGTCTGTACCCCATATAAAGTCAACCCCACAACTTCCCATAGGTACCACAACCGAATTTCAAGAGCATACGAACTTCAACCGTTCGTAACTTCCTCGTTCGTGCTCCGATTGAAGCGATCCTTGGCTCGTCGGAAAGCACTTGAGCAGATGAGTCACTTCAGATATCTGCTCAAGCCAAATGACATTCACACACACTCAGAAAATCCAAACCGCACAAGACACAAATTTCTTGCACACGCTCGCACCACACATGCAACGTACGAACACATGATGGGAGGCAGACAGACGTGAATGCGGATGATAGCATCACACAACAAACTCCCCCTCTGGCTGCCAACCATCATCCCACATGCCTCAGCTCATGCATGCACACTGAATGCATGCTCATTCCAGCAAGCTTCATGCCCTTCCAATGCTCGGCTTCAGCCAGGCGCTTGGTGAGAATGTCAGCTGCCTGCTGCTGGGTCTTCACAAGCTCCAGTCGCACCTCCTTATCCAGGAGCCTCCTTGTCCAATGCCACTTGGGCCTGATGTGCTTTGTCAGGCCATGAAGACAAGCATTCTTGGCCAGCTTCACTGTTGACTCGTTGTCACAAAATATCACAGTCGGCTCCTTCTGGCACACTCCGATCTCCTCCAACAAACGCCTCAGCCACACCACCTCCTTTGCCCCATGATGCAGGGCCATGTACTCTGTCTCACACGAGGACAGCCCCACCTCATTCTGCTTCTTGCTGCGCCAGCTCACTGCACCACCTCCAAACAGGCACACATAGCCTCCAATGCTGGTGCCATCCGCCTTCACAGAGTTGAAGCTAGCGTCGGTGTAGCAAGTCAAGAGCATCTCCCCCTTGCTCAGATCAGCTGCACCCCTCTGCAGCTTCTGGCGCATAGCACTGTACTCCAAGCCCACTGATGCTGTAGCGCTCACATAGCGGACCAACCTCTTGGCCGCTTCCAGCTGCTCATGACTGGGGCGTGAAACCACACTCGCAAGCCTGGATGTTGCAAAGGCAATGTCAGGTCACGTGTGGTAAGCGTCTTGGGCTCAGGGACGGCTGCCCAGTAGCAGTGCGCTATCTCCTCCTCATCACACTGCTCAGCCACACTCCCAGCCCGTACCACCTTTGGCTTGCCAAAGCTCGGATAGGTCAGCCGGTTAGGAGGGCGCACATCCCTCCTAGGACGGTCAGCCGTACGTGCGGCACCTTGTGGAGCACCTTGCTGCTGCTGCTGCTGCTGCAGCTGCTGCCGCTGCTGCTGCTGCTGCTGCTGCTGCTCCTCCACCTCAGGTTCTCCCCCATCCTCAGTCACCCCAGAGATCTCCTCCTCTGAGACAGTAACCTCCACCTGCCTCGAAGGCCACTGCATCTCATCGGCCTCAATGATCAGCGGTGTAGTGGGAAGCTTCTGCTGCTGCTGCTTCCACTCCTTGTAGTACAGAGACTCTAAGAACTTCACATCCCTTGACACAGTCAGCTGCTGGCTGGTCAAGTCCCATATCAGCCAGCCCTTGTGGTCCTTAGCAAGTCCCAAGTGCACACCCCATCTCCCAGAAGCTTCCAGTTTTCCCCTCTTCTCCTTCGGCACATGAAACACCACCATGCACCCGTACGCTTTCAGCATGTTGACTGCTGGTGCACTCCCATACCACTTGGTGTAGGGGATCCACTGCTTGTCCCCCACAGTCGCCAGCACCCTGTTCTTCACAAGAGCGACCTGCCTCAGTGCAGTCACCCAAAACGCATCCGGCAGCCCCGCACGCCCAAGACGAGTGGAGCACCTTCCTGCAGGGTCCGGTTGAACCGCTCAGCCACGCCATTCTGCTGAGGGTTGTAGGGCACTGTGAGCTGATGCTGGATCCCCTTCTTCTTCAGCACCGCCTCAAAATCAGCGCCAATGAACTCTCCCCCGTTGTCGGTATGGATCACCTTCACCTTGTGTCCGCTCTCCCTTTGTGCTCTCGGCATCCACTCCTTCAAAACAGCCGCTGCCACATCCCCCTTTGTCTTAAGAGGGTACACCCACACCGCACGTGTGTGGTCGTCCACAATCGTCAGAAGTAGCGGCTGCCCGAGAGAGAAAGGGCCCTCGTGGGGCCCACCACATCCATGTGCACAAGCGCGAGTGGTGCCTTGGCTGGTCCCGTGCTGCTGCTGAAGGGGAACTTGGTGAATTTCGTCTCAAGGCACGTAGGGCAGCTCCCAATCTCCTTTGCTGCCCCCTTCACCTCCAGCCCCTTCAAGCTCCCATCCTTCACTAACTTCTGCAGCATCGGAATGTTGATGTGGCACAGCCTCTCGTGCCACGTCTCCCAATCGGCCTCACCACTTCCAGATGAAGCCTTTGCCACAACAGCAGTGCTGCTGTTGTGCTGCTGCTGCTGCTGATCGGTAAGCTTCACTACTATGTGAACTTTGCTCTATCAGACTTTTGTATGTTTGAACTCTGAAATTTCAGACTTTTTTATGGTATCAAGTCTGATTGATCAGACTAAAAATGTGCACTAAGTCTGATGAATCAGACAGCTTGAAAACGAATCTGAGGGCCTGGTCAATGGTCAAACTGCTCTGCTCTGAGGATCAAAATCGAGTATGTAATAATAAACATCCAACATTGGCATGCCTACTGTATTTATCAAACCTTTAGTACTACCAAACAATCCACATTTCAGAACCAAATGCATACGGGGGAGGGGGAGACTTGCACAAACACGATTGTGAAAATCAGATTATCAGATACTCATGGCTGAAGCAGCCGGTGAGCATTCAAAAGAATGACAACTGACAAGCAAGAACCTGCAAAGAGGAAGAAAAAAAGAGACATTTGTGGATTATTATTATGGTAGGAGACAAACAGAAAGACGACCAGTCGAAGGGAGGAACATAGGGAGGGAAGAACCGAGGAAGGGACGTAGGGAGGAGGAAGGGAGGAGCAGACGCAGCGAGGGATGGATGCAGGGAGGGAGGGAGGATGCAGGTAATGTGAGGGATGCAGGGAGGGAGAGAGGAGGAGGGGGGGAAGGGACTCCAGCAGCACCACGTCCGCCTCTGCTGCGCTACCCTGCCCGCCGCCATCTGTCCACCGCGCCCCAAGCAGCTCCTTGGTGCAGAAAAGCACAAGGGGTGAGGGGTGAGGAAGAGATGGGGTGAGGAAGAGACGGGGTGAGGAAGAGACGGGGTGAGGAAGAGACGGGGTGAGGAAGAGATGGGGTGAGGAAGAGATGGGGTGAGGAAGAGATGGGGTGAGGAAGAGATGGGGTGAGGAAGAGATGGGGTGAGGAAGAGATGGGGTGAGGAAGAGATGGGGTGAGGAAGAGATGGGGTGAGGAAGAGATGGGGTGAGGAAGAGATGGGGTGAGGAAGAGATGGGGTGAGGAAGAGACGGGGTGAGGAAGAGACGGGGTGAGGAAGAGACGGGGTGAGGAAGAGACGGGGTGAGGAAGAGATGGGGTGAGGAAGAGATGGGGTGAGGAAGAGATGGGGTGAGGAAGAGATGGGGTGAGGAAGAGACGGGGTGAGGAAGAGATGGGGTGAGGAAGAGATGGGGTGAGGAAGAGACGGGGTGAGGAAGAGACGGGGTGAGGAAGAGATGGGGTGAGGAAGAGACGGGGTGAGGAAGAGACGGGGTGAGGAAGAGACGGGGTGAGGAAGAGACGGGGTGAGGAAGAGATGGGGTGAGGAAGAGATGGGGTGAGGAAGAGATGGGGTGAGGAAGAGATGGGGTGAGGAAGAGATGGGGTGAGGAAGAGACGGGGTGAGGAAGAGACGGGGTGAGGAAGAGACGGGGTGAGGAAGAGACGGGGTGAGGAAGAGATGGGGTGAGGAAGAGATGGGGTGAGGAAGAGATGGGGTGAGGAAGAGATGGGGTGAGGAAGAGACGGGGTGAGGAAGAGATGGGGTGAGGAAGAGATGGGGTGAGGAAGAGACGGGGTGAGGAAGAGACGGGGTGGGGAAGAGATGGGGTGAGGAAGAGACGGGGTGAGGAAGAGACGGGGTGAGGAAGAGACGGGGTGAGGAAGAGATGGGGTGAGGAAGAGACGGGGTGAGGAAGAGACGGGGTGAGGAAGAGACGGGGTGAGGAAGAGATGGGGTGAGGAAGAGATGGGGTGAGGAAGAGATGGGGTGAGGAAGAGATGGGGTGAGGAAGAGATGGGGTGAGGAAGAGATGGGGTGAGGAAGAGATGGGGTGAGGAAGAGATGGGGTGAGGAAGAGATGGGGTGAGGAAGAGACGGGGTGAGGAGGAGATGGGGTGAGGAAGAGACGGGGTGAGGAGGAGACGGGGTGAGGAAGAGATGAGGTGAGGAAGAGATGGGGTGAGGAAGAGATGGGGTGAGGAAGAGATGGGGTGAGGAAGAGACGGGGTGAGGAGGAGACGGGGTGAGGAAGAGATGGGGTGAGGAAGAGATGGGGTGAGGAAGAGATGGGGTGAGGAAGAGATGGGGTGAGGAAGAGACGGGGTGAGGAGGAGATGGGGTGAGGAAGAGATGGGGTGAGGAAGAGATGGGGTGAGGAAGAGACGGGGTGAGGAGGAGATGGGGTGAGGAAGAGATGGGGTGTGGAGGGGATGGGGTGTGGAGGAGATGGGGTGTGGACAGGGTGGGGTGAGGGGATAGGACAGGGTGGGGTGAGGGGATAGGACAGGGCGGGAGGAGGGGATAGGACAGGGCGGGAGGGAGGGATGGAGAAACGAGGAAAAGGGGATGGGAAGTTAGAGGGCATGGCGGAAAGGGGTGGGGCGGAATGGGGTGGGGCAGATTGGGGAGATGGGGAAGGGGAGATGGGGGATGGGGAGATGAGGGATGGGGAGATGCGGGATGGGGAGATGAGGGATGGGGAGATTAGGGATGGGGAGATGGGGGATGGGGAGAGGAGGGAAGGGGAGATGGGGGATGGGGAGATGAGGGATGGGGAGATGACGGATGGGGAGGTGAGGGATGGGGAGGTGAGGGATGGGGAGGGAAGGGATGGGGAGGTGAGGGATGGGGAGAAGATGTATGGTAAGATGAGAGACTGGGAGGTCAAGCAACTGAGGGAACGGATGGGGAGGCGGGGATGGGGAGGGAAGGGATGGGGAGGGAGCATTAGGCGACGGAGGGGAATGAGAGGATGCGAGGGGCAGGTGGTGAGCGTGGGCGACGGAGGGAAGTGAGCGTGGGTTTCGGATGAGGGGAGAGCGTGCGCGGCGGGGAGGAGTGAGCGTGGGCGACGAGAGGGAAATCGCGTGGCCGAGCGAGGGGGGTGAGTAATGTTCTCCGCTCAAGGGGATTGAGCAAGTGCTTCAGAAGGGACCGTCGCGACAGGAGGGTAGTGATTGAACGCGGCCGGAGGGGGAGAGCGTGGGCGGCGGAAGGACAGTCGTCGCGCGCGACGATCGAAAGTGCGTGCGGACGGAGCTGGGGTGAGGCGGAGAGGGTGAGGCGGCGATGGATGGGGCGGAGGGGGTGAGGCGGAGATGGATGAGGCGGAGATGGGTGAGGCGGAGATGGGTGCGGCGGAGATGGGTGAGGCGGAGATGGTGTGCGACGGGAGGGATTGCGCAAAGGCGATGGAATGGGAGTGAGCGTAGGCGAAGGGATGGAGTGACCGTGGGCGACGAAAGTGACTGATCGTGGGCGACGGTACGTTTGACGTAAGTGCGATGGGAAGGGAGTGAGCGTGGGCGACGGGGCCGTCTTGAGCATGGGCAGTGGAATGGAGTGCGCGAGGGCGACGGAAGGGTGTGTGCGTCATTGTTCGAGAGAAAATGGGCGACGGGAAGGAGTTCTCTTCCGCGTTTCTTTAGCTAGGTTTCCGTGGGGAAACGTGGAAACGTGACCTGGGCCCACGTTTGGCAAAAGCGACGGATTGCAAGAATGGAGTCACGGTGCTAAAGCCGTATGGCGAAATTTTCAGACATGCGCTGGCATGCGCTGGTTTGTTTGGAAGCCTAGATATTCTAAGCTATGGCTGTCGCTCTAGCTGCTCAGACTAGGCATTTTCTGTCGACCTGAATTACAAGACAGAGTTTGGTGTGCACACCACAGCTAGAGTGGTTGCGCAGGAACCGAGCGACCCTTCCTTGTGCTGCCTGCGACTTCTCTCACGTTTTGCAGGTGGAGACCTGGTAACCACTCTGGTTCGGGAGGGGAGGTGTTGGTCCGGAAGGTGAGGTGTTAACACCTCCCAACTTTTTTTGTAATTCAGGCTGCGGGTTTTAACGACGAAGATGGATTCGCGAATCGCGGCGGGGCCCGCAGTTCGTCCTCACCGCCTCCCACTCCTCCCAGGACGCCCATGCCACGTGGAGTCTACCCTGTAACGAATGGGATTGTAAAAAAATGCCGTTTGAATGAATGCTGTTGTTGTGTGACGATTTGCTGCAGGAATCGCGGTCCCAATATCGGCTAATGCCTGGCGGGTGGCTGCTAGGAACTTCGAAGCTGCTAGGAACTTCGAACTCGATCATCGAAAGTATCTGGTAACATATGTTGGCATCGTGCTCCTCATATCATTTCAGCTCTATTGCTGTATGTGCTCCATACTACACACACTGTGTGAAGGATTACATAGTTCCTAAAGAGATTCTGCTACCTCACATCAACTGAGATCTACCAAGGAATTCGGGGGAGGTAGCAGTGACGCAACGCAACGTGCGATTCAGCCCTTGGCTCAAGCACTGTGCTGCATCAGACTACTGTAATAGCGCTAATGCACCGCACTTGACCTCACAAATCTCTCGACCTCTCTCAAATTTCCCTCCATGCTTCTGAATTTGTCGATACCAAACCTTTTGGGCATTCTTACCTCACCCAACCCAACGTAACCAAACCCAACCCACAGCCGAATTCGTCAGTCCCAGCAATCCCCGTGCCTTGCCCATAAACCGAAACTTCCCTGCCCAATCTCCTTCGCTTCAACCAAAACCTCTTGCTGCCCTCACCTCAACCAAACCAGCTCAATCAGACCAAACCAAACCAAACCAGCTCAAACCATACCACACAACCAGTGCAACTTAAAACCAGACCAACCAAACCAGGCCAAACCAAACCAGCTCACCCATGTCTGCAACTCACCCTCCCACTTGCACAACCAGCCGCCCCTTGGACTGCAGTGGTGGCCCTCGCTCGCTGCTGGGCTGATGCCGCTCGCTTCGCTAGTCGTGCCTCTCCTCAAGGGCGAATGCCTGCCAAGCCAAGCCTGTACACACGATGCCCAACCAGTGCACGCGAATTTGCCTTGCGCAGGATGGAAACCCTGCACCCGTGTATTTTGTGCCAGCCAGTTGCACCCCATCTACAAGCACCCCAAACTGAAGAGACCGGGGTCAAATTGTCAACGCTTAGTTACAATTCTCCATCTGCCCTTTATAAGCCCTTTTTGCTAAGTGCGAATTGACGAAATCCAGACGAAATCCAAAATCACTTAAAAGCCCAGAGAGAGAGGCAAGGTCGGGGGGCTCAACCGGGCATCGTGTGTACTTGCGCTGCCGTCGCGTGCATTCTATTCGTCCATACTGTTGCTGTAGCAACAGCCGTTCATTTCCTCGCCGTAGCCAGCGCACGCGCATCGCAGTCTAAATACGAACTCGCAATGACTGGCTCAGTATGTTATGTGGACGGCTGTCGGCGAGAATATCGCATGGCACGTCCTGTGTATGCACATCCGACGTGGAACTGCCACATAGGAAAACTCCCATCACGGATGGCGTGCACTCACCTTTTCCAGGAAACCTCTCCCCAATCTTATCTTGACAACGTATCGCCTCTATTCTTCCTCGCTCGAAACCCATTTCAGGTTTCAATCTGAACTTAGGTTTCGATTCTCTCGAACATAATTTGGAAGCTAGACATCACTAGACTCGGAGTCGCACATGGCGGACGTAGGTTACTACTCTCGAGTCGCGCGTTCCATCACCGTTCACGGCGCGTTGCGCGCTCACGTTAGTACGACAGCGTGCCTCTTCCTGCTACTCCTCTACTGCTCACCGACGATAGCTTTCCCGCCCATATCGAGGCAGCTTGTATCGAAGCTACCTGCTGCTCGCCGCGGACGAGGACTCGCTGCGAGGCGGGCGGAGAGAGCATTATACATGGAGGGGGGCTGCTACGCGCCCACACCCTCGCCGCCGGCTTCGGCGGCTGACACGGCGGCGCTCAAGGCGATTTTCGCAGCCGCACTGATACCTATCCCGGCGAACCAGCCGGACGCGTGCACGTGGCCCGGCGTGTCTTGCTGCGCCGGCGGCGTTAAGACGCTATATCTTTCGCACATCGACCTCCCTAGCGCGCCCCCCACCCCACCCACGCCTCGCCTTTGCAACCGTACCGCGCGCGAACCGGGCTTAAAGTTCCCCGCAACCCTCTCCGATTCTATCGGCCAGTTGACGAATCTCACCGATCTCGGTGTGTCGAATCTCTGGCTTGCTGGCTCGGTCCCGCGATCGTTTTCCCGGCTTACGAAAATGGAGTGGCTCGAATTTGGCAATAACTGCTTCTCTGGTCCTTTTCCTTTCGCCATTTTTAGCTCGCCGATGCTTAGCTATGTGTCCGCCGCCCGAAATTTCTTCACCGGCGGGTTACCACATCGTCCTGCTGCGTACGCGGCGGCGGCTCAGCTAACGAATCTGGATCTCGGGAATAATTGGCTGTCCGGGCCGATCCCTGCTGCCCTCGCGACGCTGTCGGACTTTTTCGGTGCGCAGATACTTTTGAACTCGAATCGGCTATCCGGGAATATCCCCCCTGCTCTGCTGAAAAAATACTTTGCACTTGATTTGAGTGCGAACCGGCTTTCCGGCGATTTGACCGGGCAGCATATAATGTCCTCAAGCGTCCGCGTAAGCGGGAACAGGTTGAGCGGAAACTTCAACACGATACGGTTCAGCGAATCTGTGGGGGGCATCGACGTTTCAAACAATTTGTTTTCGGGCTCGTTCCCGCAGATTGTGTGCCATCGGAGCGGCTTAGCAATTAACTTTTCGCACAATCGGCTGACAGGAGCCGTTCCAGCAGATTGTTTCAAGTTCGGGAGTTTTCCAAACGGCCTCTTTCTAAGCCACAACAAATTCTCGGGCAGCTTGCAGCCGTTTGCGAACCTGCCCACGGACATCACTGCTCTGGACCTCGGATTCAACAAATTCACAGGGAGAATTCCCAGACGCCTCACCAATTTACCCCAGCTTAAATACTTGGACCTCGGGGCAAACGCTCTGACAGGTGAGCTGGCTGGAAAACCGCTCATTGCTTTCTTCCGTTAAGTTTTCTGTTGACTCTTCTTAACCACTGTTCTTCTCTTCTCTATTGACTCTTGCATCCCTTGTTGACTCATGTTCTTCTCTTCCCTGCTTGATTCGACTCTTCGTTCCTCCCTGCTCTATCGCTGTGCTTGCTCGTACCTCCCATCCCCCACCCCCCAGGCCCCATTCCCGCCTTCTGCCAGGGCAAGCAGGCCCTCACCATCCTCAACCTTGCTTACAACGCCCTATCTGGCCCGCCGACCCCGCTCTCCTCCCCCTCCTGCTCCGCCTCCCTTAAGGTCCTCTATCTCACCTCCAACCGCCTCTCCGGCCCCATCCCCGCTACAATCAGATCCTTTAGAAACCTCATGCGCCTCCGCCTTGATAACAACGCCCTCACGGGACTGATTCCTGCGGGTGTGAGAAATATGAAAAGGCTGCAGAGGCTAGGATTGTCGTATAACAAGCTATCAGGTGCCATTCCCGCGGTTTGGCCGGCAAGGTTATGGGTAGTGAAGCTGGCAGGGAATCGGTTGAGAGGGGCTGTTCCGGCTGCTCTGAGCAAGCTGAAGAGAGGCTCGTTCAAACCAGGGAACCCCAACTTGTGTGGAACCCCGCTGCCTGCTTGTGCATAGAACCATTTTGATGGGACTCTACCGAGGAGCCGACTGGCAGGGGCTTTCCGGCAGCTGTGAGCAAGCTGGGGGAACCAGGGAACGGCACTTTGTGTGGGACCCTACTGCCTGCCTGTGCTTCATGTCATCCCTTCCTTTCCTAACCCCCTCCCGCCGCCCTCTGCTCTCGGGCCGCAAGCGAGCTTCATCGAGCAAAACGCATGCATGCTACTGGTAGTTGCGAGGAATTTGGTGTACAGAAGTACAGTGTACCGTTGATGTCTTGAAACAAAAATTACAAAAAGAAATCAGGGTGCTAAGCTCCACCAAATCCACTTCACTAGTCTTGTACAAAAGAATCATGTGGTACTGTCAGAAGGAAAAGAAACAACAATAACTAAGCTGGTGCTCGTGTGGTCAGATCAGGGCAATTGAATGTTTCAAAGCTGCCCAATAGTATCCTGAAGTAGCAACAGACCCACCACTTGCCCCAGCAGCTCCCACCCCAACTGCCTCTGCCTCCTGTTGTGCACCTGTCAGCGTTTCTGCTCCCAGTATCCTTGCAACTGTCAGTGTTTCTGCTTCTCCCAACAGGGCATTGCTTGCAGCCTTTTGCAACTGTGCTATTGCACCCACCTCAGCACCACCACCAACACCAGCACCAGCACCAGATCCCACCTCCCTTCCGTTTTCCTCTATTTCTGCATCGTCCCCTTCCCCTCTAACCCCTCCAGCCCCATCAATCTCCCACGCTCTCTCGTCCGAATCTGGGCCAACCGAACCTCCATCCAGACCAAACGCCCAGCCCAGGCCTGCGCCGAACCTCCTCGCAGCCTCAAACGGCGGCTCCAGGTTCGGGAGAACGCCGGAGCTGGCAGCTAGGGACGGCATGGTCCCCACAGCACAGGGCACCCAGTTAGCCGCAACCCTCCACCTCTTTCTCGGAAGGTTCCTTTCAACAAGATTCCTCCTTCTCTTGCCAGCCCCTCTCGTTCCTCCTCCCCGTTTCCTCTTCCCCCCCTCCCCTTTTCCTATCTCCCGTTTTCCATTCTCCCCTCTCACCGTCTCCTTTTTCCTCGTCCCCTGCCCCGTGCTGCTACTGCTCGCCCTTCCCTTCCCCCCACTACTCGCCCGAACCACTTGCTCGATTGTACTCAGCTCCCTCTCCATCTCCCTCAGAAGTTTCTCAGTCCCCTCCTCAAAACTCGTCCCTTCAACCTCCTCCACCTCTGCCCCCTCCTCCTCACTCTCTCCTTCTCTTCCCCCTTCTACCCTTCCTTCACCTCCTCCTGTTATTCCTCCTCCCGCTTCCCCATCTGTCCGCGTCTCGCCTCCCTCTCCTTGCTGCCCCTGCCCCTGCCCCTGCCCCTGCCCCCGCTCCCTCTCCTTTCCCTCCTCGCCTTCTCTTCCCCCGCCCCCCTCGCTGCCTCTCCGCCACTTCCCCTCCCCGTTTTGCACTTTGGAACCCTGCTTTCCCTGCGGTCTCAAAACCCTGTTTCACACTCACAGTCCCTCCATTTAGCCCCAAGCCTTGCTCACCCATAGTCGTATCATCCATAAACCCTTCTCCACCGCACATTACCATTCCACTGTCAGCCAGCAAACCCCCCTCTAGTGCACCGCTCGCCATAAGCACGTCACCGCTCGTCACCAGAATCGCTCTCAACCGTTGCGAATGACCCAACCAGGCAGCAGGAAACTCACCCGATGCTGTTACCCCACCACCGCCGCATGTTACCATAGCACTCGGAGTAACCGCACCGATGGATGTAACCACAGCAGGCGCGAGAACAGGGTTACCAGCAGAAGAACCAAGTGGACCTGCTGCCCCCCTCTCCTCCCACCACTCCACCAGCCCGTGCCTCACTAGCTGCCGAATGCGCCAACTCATCGCCGCTCCTCTCCCCCTGCTCCTTTTGCTCTCCTCACCCCCTCCCTTGTTCCTGCCTCTGCCAGATCTACCTCCCTGAGACCCACCTCCTCCACTTCCACCCTTTCCCTCCCACTTGCCCTCCCCCTCCCCCTCCCCTTCCCCCTCCTCCCCTTCCTTCTGGATCATCCGGTCGGCGAGCGCAAGTGACACGTCAGCAAGTACATGTGGCAGGCGGGGGCAGGACGGGAGGGCGTGCAGGCAGCGCATGGCACAGCGGGCGAGGAGAGGCAGAGGGAACCACTTGCCGTGTGATGGGGAGTCATGTGATGAGGCCCGGTGTGTTGGTGGGTCTGTGCCGCCCAGATCGATATCCGTTTCGTCCTCTTCCTCCTCACACTCTTCCTCTTCTTCTAATGCATCCTCATCCTCTTCCTCCTCATCGTATTCCTCATGTTCCTCCTCCTCCGCCTCATCCTCCTCTTCCACTTTCTCCTCTTTTTCCTCTTCCACTTTCTCCTCCTCTTTTTCCTCTTCCACTTTCTCCTCCTCTTTTTCCTCTTCTCCATTCTCCTCCTCAGCATTACCAGGTGCCTTTCCACCTGATTCTTCCTCCTCTTCACCAATCAACTCCATCCCATCCTCATGCCCTTGTCCCCCCCCTTCCCCTTCCCCTTCCCCTTCCCCTTCTTCTCCCCCTTCCTCCTCCTCCTCTTTCTCTTGCTCCTCCTCTTCCTCCTCCCCCTCCTCCTTCTCCTTCTTCCCTCCCCAATTCCTCACCACCACCGATTTTTGCACTGCCATTGTCATCCCTCCTCTCTCCCCGCTCCCCTCCTCCCCTTCTTCCTCTTCCAGCTCCCCTTCCATAAGCAACCACTCCAAACACTGCATAATTCCCCTCCACTCCTCCTCATCCCTCCATTCTCCTTCCCCTCTCCCCCCATCCCCTACCTCTTCCCTTCCACCCATCCGCCCACCCTCCTCCTCACCAAACACCCCCCTCCTCCCTCCCTTCGCGATCACCGCTATAAGCTCACTCACTATATGCGACAGTAACGCAGCTGGTAACCCTCTTATATGATCCAACACCTCCCAAACTGCCTCTTCTAACCCCTCCAGATCTTCCCCTCTTTCCCCTCCCCCTCCTCCCCCCGTTTGTGGCCCCCTTTCCTCACCCACACTGCCCGGGCCGCCCTTATCCGCGTTATAAGCAGCATTCACGACTCGCCTAAGCTGCCTCAGCAGCAGAGCAGCGAAATCGCCCATAGACCGCTCTGCACACCTCCGCAGCTCCCTCAACTGCGCCTTTCTCTGCCTAGCCGGGTGCTGCATGTGTTTCCCCACCAGGATCGAATCATCGGGCTCAGACGCTGCTGCGAAAGCCAACGTTGCCGCAGCAGCCGCAGCAACAGAATCAGAGGCGGCAGCAGCGGCAGGATCAGCAGCAGCAGGAGCGCCAGCAGCAGCATTACCAACAGCAGGTTTGGGGGTGGCAGGAACTTGCCGTTTAGCATTGGCGTTGGCATTACCATGGGCGTTGGCATTAGCATTGGCGTTGGCATTAGCATTGGCGTTGGCGTTACCACGAGCAGTGGTGGTGGCAGTGAGTTGCCTGAAGGAGGAGAATTTGCCCTCTGCATCCTCGCTGCTCGCTGCCAGCATGGCCGCCTGCCTGCTCCAATAGTTGCTCACTAGCCACCCCAGGGCCTGGAAAAGAACGGAGAGAGGGAGATAGGGGGAAAGAAAAAGAATGAGAAGGGGACGTGTGCTGCCCTCTCCATCCTCGCCCGCTGCCAGAATAGACGTGTGTCTGGTCCAGTAGTTACTCACTTTCCCCCCTCGCACCCCGTTTTTGCCTCCCTGTAGCAAGTGTTTCTCAAGTGTTTCTCAAGTGTTTCTCAAGTGTTTCTCAAGTGTTTCTCAAGTGTTTCTCAAGTGTTTCTCAAGTGTTTCTCAAGTGTTTCTCAAGTGTTTCTCAAGTGTTTCTCAAGTGTTTCTCAAGTGTTTCTCTCCCCTGGATCCCACTTCATTACAGCAAACTCTTGCCCTCGCCCCCCTTCCCCCCTCTCCCAATCCTCTTTCACACCCTCACTCACTCTCCCCAACCACCATCCACACCCCTCCTTCTCATCTGAGTGACTGACTGCCAGTCACAACACCAGCAGCTGCAGCCTGCCTTTCCTTTCATACCCCTCCCTCCCTCCCTCCCTGTCCTCCATTCCTCTCCTCCTGCCTTCCACCCTCCCTCCTGCACTGACTCTCTAGCCTCCTCTCTCACATCACATCACAACCACCAGCCACACCCCTTCCCTCTCACCTGAGTGACAGCCAGTCGCAGCACTGGCAGCTGCAGCAGAGAACTGGCCCCTTACTCCCTCCCCGTCCTTCCTCCTTCTCCTCCTGCCTTCCACCCTCCCCCGTGCGTGCGCTGAGAAGCTCTCCTCCACTCTCTCACATCACATCACACCCACCATCCACACCCCTCCCGCTCACCTGAGTAACAGCCAGTCGCAGCACCGGCAGCTGCAGCAGGCGATTGTGGGCCAGAGCTGTGAAGTGGGAGGGGAAGGAATGAGGGGGGAAAAAAATAAGGAGGGAAGGAAAGGATGGATGGTATGAGGGGTTTCGATTCAACTCTGGCTACTGCAGCAGGCGATTGTGGGCCAGGGCTGTGACGAGGGGAAGGGATAGGGGAAAAGGGGATGAGAGGGGGGAAAGGGATGAGAGGGGGGGAAAAGGGATGAGAGGGGGGAAATGGATGAGAGGGGGGAAAGGGGTGAGAGGGGGGAAAGGGGTGAGAGGGGGAAAGGGATGAGAGTTGGGAAGGGATGAGAGGTGGAAGGAAGGAGGGAAGGAAAGGATGGATGGTATGAGGGGTTTCGATTCAACCCTGGCTACTGCAGCAGGCGATTGTGGGCCAGGGCTGTGACGAGGGGAAGGGATAGGGGAAAAGGGGATGAGAGGGGGGAAAGGGATGAGAGGGGGAAAAGGGATGAGAGGGGGGAAATGGATGAGAGGGGGGAAAGGGGTGAGAGGGGGGGAAAGGGGTGAGAGGGGGGAAAGGGATGAGAGTTGGGAAGGGATGAGAGGTGGAAGGAAGGAGGGAAGGAAAGGATGGATGGTATGAGGGGTTTCGATTCAACCCTGGCTACTGCAGCAGGCGATTGTGGGCCAGGGCTGTGACGAGGGGAAGGGATAGGGGAAAAGGGGATGAGAGGGGGAAAGGGATGAGAGGGGGAAAAGGGATGAGAGGGGGGAAATGGATGAGAGGGGGGAAAGGGGTGAGAGGGGGGAAAGGGGTGAGAGGGGGGAAAGGGATGAGAGTTGGGAAGGGATGAGAGGTGGAAGGAAGGAGGGAAGGAAAGGATGGATGGTATGAGGGGTTTCGATTCAACCCTGGCTACTGCAGCAGGCGATTGTGGGCCAGGGCTGTGACGAGGGGAAGGGATAGGGGAAAAGGGGATGAGAGGGGGGAAAGGGATGAGAGGGGGAAAAGGGATGAGAGGGGGGAAATGGATGAGAGGGGGGAAAGGGGTGAGAGGGGGGAAAGGGGTGAGAGGGGGGAAAGGGATGAGAGTTGGGAAGGGATGAGAGGTGGAAGGAAGGAGGGAAGGAAAGGATGGATGGTATGAGGGGTTTCGATTCAACTCTGGCTACTGCAGCAGGCGATTGTGGGCCAGGGCTGTGACGAGGGGAAGGGATAGGGGAAAAGGGGATGAGAGGGGGGAAAGGGATGAGAGGGGGAAAAGGGATGAGAGGGGGGGAAATGGATGAGAGGGGGGAAAGGGGTGAGGGGGGGGGGGGGTAAGGGGGAAAGGGGTGAGAGGGGGGAAAGGGATGAGAGTTGGGAAGGGATGAGAGGTGGAAGGAAGGAGGGAAGGAAAGGATGGATGGTATGAGGGGTTTCGATTCAACTCTGGCTACTGCAGCAGGCGATTGTGGGCCAGGGCTGTGACGAGGGGAAGGGATAGGGGAAAAGGGGATGAGAGGGGGGAAAGGGATGAGAGGGGGAAAAGGGATGAGAGGGGGGGGAAATGGATGAGAGGGGGGAAAGGGGTGAGAGGGGGGAAAGGGGTGAGAGGGGGGAAAGGGATGAGAGTTGGGAAGGGATGAGAGGTGGAAGGAAGGAGGGAAGGAAAGGATGGATGGTATGAGGGGTTTCGATTCAACCCTGGCTACTGCAGCAGGCGATTGTGGGCCAGGGCTGTGACGAGGGGAAGGGATAGGGGAAAAGGGGATGAGAGGGGGGAAAGGGATGAGAGGGGGAAAAGGGATGAGAGGGGGGAAATGGATGAGAGGGGGGAAAGGGGTGAGAGGGGGGAAAGGGTGAGAGGGGGGAAAGGGATGAGAGTTGGGAAGGGATGAGAGGTGGAAGGAAGGAGGGAAGGAAAGGATGGATGGTATGAGGGGTTTCGATTCAACCCTGGCTACTGCAGCAGGCGATTGTGGGCCAGGGCTGATGAACGGAGAGGAGACAGGGAAGAAGAGCGGGGGAGCGGAAAAAGGGTTGTGCAGTGCAGGCCAAGGGCAGGCGGGGAGAGGGAGGGAGAGTGCAGCAGGCAATGCGGGACAAGGCCAGGCCACGCCACGGCACCACTCCGACCACCCCCCCTCCGCTACCACCCCCCCTCCGCTACCCCCCCCCCTCCGCTACCACCCCCCCTCCGCTACCCCCCCCTCCGCTACCACCCCCCCTCCGCTACCACCCCCCCTCCGCTACCATCCCCCCTCCGCTACCACCCCCCCTCCGCTACCACCCCCCCTCCGCTACCACCCCCCCTCCGCTACCACCCCCCCTCCGCTACCCCCCCTCCGCTACCACCCCCCCTCCGCTACCACCCCCCCTCCGCTACCACCCCCCCTCCGCTACCACCCCCCTCCGCTACCACCCCCCCTCCGCTACCACCCCCCCTTCCACTACCACCCCCACCATCTCCCCTTCCCCACCACGCCCCTGGACAATGAGCAGGCAGTACACTGGCCTGGAATCAGTAATCATCATCCTCGTTATAAACACCATCGTTATGATCACCTCAACACATTCCGTCCTTACTCACAGTGCCTGACGTCCGCCAGCAGTCGAGGAATGCCCACGTGAGCCGCCACCCTCACCACCCTCCACCACCCTCCACCACACTACAATCTAAGCCTCACAGTGCCTGACGTCCACCAGCAGTCGAGGAATGCCCACGTGAGCTGCCACCCTCACCACCGACCGACCGAGGGCTGGGTTGCGGTTGTCACACAGACCACTCACGAACCTGCATGCATGTATCACGGGCACGGCAGTAGGGGGAGGGGAGGAGAACAAAAAGGGAATTTTGAGCATTTCCAAAAGGACGTATTCTAGTCAATGAAGGGCGCAACCACTTACGAATGAACCCGGAACATTTACAAACACGGAACAATACAAACACGACACTTAGAAACACAAACCTTCATTTGGGAGGAGTCAGGACATGGAATGGAAGAAGGGACAAGTGATTTGATGTGATGGCTAAAAACTGTGGTGATTGTGAACGTTGTGTGCGTTGGGCAACAGGCTGACGGACCTGATGATGACGGCCACACCGACCCGTACCGCACAGAACCTCTTCCTCTTCACACTAGCATGGAGCACGGTACCTGGCGATTCTGACATGCCATATGTGTTTAACTGCCTGGCACATACTGAGTGCTCATACTGAGTGCTCTGATGATGGTGGCAGCCTATAACTGACTGTCTACAGATCACAATGACACAGAACAGCAGAGAACCTCTCTCAAACCCTGTGTGCTGGGCCAAAGCTAATCCAGTGATCACAGCTGCATGTGACTGGCGGAGCACAAACCAAACCGCACACAACCGCACACAACCACTCTCAACCGTGTGTTCTGACTGACCTAATGATGACGGCGGCATATGACTGGCGGAGCACGAATGGGGGAGAGGCGGAACCACGTGGGGCGGCCTGGGGAAAAGGGGAGAGGGGGGGAGGATGGCGAGAGGGAGGGCGAGAGAAAGGGAGGGAGGGAGGGAGGGAGGGAGGGAGGGAGGGAGGGAGGGAGAGGGGAGGGAGGAGGGAGGGAGGGAGGGAGGGAGGGAGGGAGGGAGGGAGGGAGGGGAGGGAGGGACGAATTGGGGAGTGGGCGAAACAAACAAAGGGAATGTATGATACTGAAAAAATGACTGGCGGAGCAAGAGAGGGGAAGAGGAAGAATATGTGGGGAGGACTGGGGGTGGGAGTCAGGGACGGGCGGAGGGAGTGGGGAAAATAGGAAGGGGAGGCACGATGTGGGGCAATCAGTCAGCATGCCAGCTGCAGTGATCTCAAGGGCATGTGACTTTTGAGTCAACTCAAAAGTCACCTGAAAATAGGACGGGGAGGCACGATGTGGGGCAGGCAGTCAGCATGCCAGCTGCAGTGATCTCAAGGAAGGGCATGTCCCAAACGGTCGTTCTTCGCTCAATACTCTACTCAACCACTCTAAAACACAAAGCACCTCGCTCGGCCGCATTCAATTGAATTATTCAGACAAGCTTTCAGCTGAGCCAGACATGCCTAGCCCGTCCCCCCAGTACCTAGTGAAGACCTATGTCCCCAAACGTAACTCCTCCGAACCTCCAACCCCGAACCTGCATCCCCAAACCTGCAACCTCAAACCCCCTGCACTGCACCCCCGAACCTACCAGAGGTCCGGGTCCTGCAGCTGCACGGCGAGCATGCCAGCTGTCACATCCACAGAGGCCGGGACCCGTCCCCTGATCTGCCATGCTGCCACCTGGCATTTTAAAATGTGGGGAGAATCCCGAGGGTGGAATGAGGGGATGAGAGGGGTTTAGAGTTTAAACGAATTTACCCGAAGACGTGACGTGAAATATGCCGAACTGAGGATAGAATGTTTCCAAATTTTACTCACAGTGTCCCGCTTATCCCAAGAGGATCAAAGATTCGAGAGTCACACGAAGCACCCCAGTATGATTCAGAATCCCATCCGAGGCACCCATATCGGGGATAACGTCTACAAAGTGACTTTTGAGTCGACTCAAAAGTCACCCCATATTGGGAATAACGGCTACAGATCAAGCTCTCGCTCGTCGCCTCCCGCTCCTCCCAGGAGGCTCACAAGACGTGATAGCGGATGACGGATCACACTACAGCGGGAATACAGCTAAACCCACCCGGTCAATCCCGAAGGAGATGGACTCGCGGGTAACGGCGGGTCCGAGCAGGCTCGCCCGCACCGCCTCCCACTCCTCCCAGGAGGCCCATGGCACGTGCCGCAGCGCTAGCGACATTACGCTGACTTGTACCAAATGCTGATGTAAAGAATGCCGTTTTAAAAAAAAATTGCGGAAATTTCGGCCCACTGTTGGGATTCCGATCCTTCTAGTGATGGCCTGAAGTCCAGAAACAGACTGTTCGATCGTCGTGCTCCTCACAAGAGCTCTGACCCAGATGGCCAACAGATTGTTCGATCGGGTGTTGGGATATCGCTCTATCTGCACTATACTACACCCAGCGCCATAACCTGTTGCTTTTTAATCGCTTCGATGAGTGCGAGCGGTAGCAATCCTTTGTCCAGCGAGAGAATTAGGGGTCTTAGAGACTTAGGAATGGCGGCGGGATTTGGGTAGTAGGGTGGCATGGCAATAGCATGTCATCGATATCAAGCACTCATCGCTTGTTATTCGGGCGTAGTCCAGCATATGCAAGCGAGGTCCAGTGCTAGACCCTGAAGCGGGTAACCCTACGAATGCGCGCGAATGCATCTCTCTGTCAAGTCCGAACCACGAAACCAAAGGCGCTCAACTCAAGGTTTGGCAAGTGACTTTCCACGAACAAACCGTAGGGTCGACTGCTCAAGAAAAATATGAGCAGGGAGCGCGCGTAAATACAGCCCACCACGCGAGAATTGCGAAACGCCCACCTGAGTGTCGCCGACATGTCTTTGAGAAAATGTGAGTTGCAGTTTCGCGCAGCATCGAGTTCGTGAACCAAGCGCGGGTACGTAACTGAAGTTGCTAATCTTGGACCTCTGACAATTTTCAAGTTCATTAAGCTGAGGACGTATTCCATGTTGGTGGCAGGGGGACTGTTCATCGTACTGTTGGTGGCAAGCGCATTTTCCGGCACACTGAGTTTTTGGGCACACTTGCCACCAATCAACGTGAACAGCTGTCCTGCCACCAACATGGAAACGCCCTGAACCTCCTCCGAGCCTGCAAAACGACCCCACGACAGATCCGACCCCGTTTTGCACATGATACAACACGCCCCCATCACTTCGACACGCATGGTTGTCAGGAGGAGTTCAAGCGCAGTTCGTCACTTTGAAGGCAGGTTAGCAGCGGTTCACAGCGGTGACATTATGGAGCCCCCTAGAAAAGCACTACAAAAATAAAACATTAGATGCCTATTTGTATGATTTAAAACTCTCTGTGGATGCCAAGCCATGCCATATTTCAGAGAGTACCGTAATCACCCGGACATACCACCCTAGGGTGCTATGATAACTACATCAAAATAAGGGGGGGGTCTTGTCATGGGAAAAAGCTACATAACACCGGGTCTTTTTATAATGTATATTTTTTTTAAGCAAGGAAAACGGTTGGGAACAAAATGTACATGCTTGCTGCGGTGGTAGATTGTTGGTTGGGTGCGCAAAACCGAGGATGAGGCGATAACGTTAGGGCGTGTGCACTTTGGGCGAAATTTGTCAAAGTTCGAACATTCACCGCTTTGCACCGAGTAGAACCTCGCTAAAAGTTCGAACTTAGACGGAAATTCGAACCCCTAGTGCACACGCCCTTAGCCTCGAGTGGAAGCTGCCACATTGCAAGCTCCAACAGGCCCTCTGTCATGCCCTGATTGGTCGAAAACACACCCCCCGTCGCTCGACGAGGATTCATGCAGTCACAGAGGCGGGAGTCCCGCAACAGGCTTACAGCCTCGCTGGTGCGATCACATCCCTGCGCAAAATTTAGACGAAAACATCATTTTTTTCCGTACATAACACCCTCCCCCGGGTCTTATACCGGATCGGCCCAAAAGGGGGGTATAGTAGAAACGAGGTCCGCTATAGCACCCACCCCGCACAAGCCACCCGGGGGGTGTTCAATTTCGGCGGGTGGTATGTCCGGTGATTACGGGTATTTGACAGGGAGAGGCCCTAGACGCAAGTTTGTAGTACATTCATTTACTAGTGGCAAACAGAACATCTCAGCATCATGCCAGGTGAAACCAAATATGGAAATACCCAATAGAGTTACCTTATACATCCTTAAAAACAGCTCCAGGTGATTTAAGGAAGAGGCCTAGAATGAAAAAGGAAGATGTAAAGAAAATATGTAATGCTGTACATTACGGTAACTTCCATGCAATAAAATCAATGCACAAAAATGCTATGTCCGAGCAACCGCAGATTCAACCAAACCTAATACCCACTCCAGGAGGGGCCATCATCCATAGACACCCGGATAAAGAGGACTAGAGTGCCGCTGAGCACAATGAAGGCCGCAAGGGTGAAGAGCGTGGCTCCGAGGGTTATAAGGTGACCGTGGTGCAGGATGAAGGGAATGGCAACGCTGCCAACCTGGAAATTTGGGTTTCAGGTTGGAGATTTTGGGGAGGAATGAGGTAAGGGACACACACACAGTAAGAGCGTGGCTCTGAGAGTTATGAGGTGGCCGTAGTGGAGGATGAACGGAATAGCAACACTGCCAATCTGGGGGGGGTTCAGGGGGGTTTCGGGAGAAAGGGAGCAATGGATAAGAGCACAGAGTGTGGCTCTGGGAATTATGAGGCGGTCGTGGCGCAGGATGAAGGGACTGGCAACAGGCAACACTGCCAACCTGGGGGAGTTCTGGTTGGGGTTCATGGTTTTGGGGAGAGAGACAAGGGGCAAGCGTGAAAAGCATGACTCTGAGAGTCATGAGGTGGCTGCGGTGCATGATGAAGGGAATGCTCAAACTGCAAGTGTGAGGCGGTTAGGGTTCCGAGTTCTGGGGAGAGATGAAGCAAGGCGCAAGAGTGCACAGCATAGCTCCGTGGGTACTGAGCAGGGAAATAGGTGACTTTTGAGTGGACTCAACAGGAACAAGTCGACGAAGTTGGAAGAAAAATCTTGAAATAATCAAGAAGAAGCAGTGATGAAGAGAACTTGGCATGAGGAGTGGGGAACTTGGCTGCTTGCGTGCCACAGCAGTCAGTAGCAGAAGCGATCGGGCGGGGGTGGAAAAAGGGGAGAGAGCTGGGCTGGCAACTTACAGAAGAGAAGCCGGTGAGGAACTTGGCTGCGTCTTGCCACCTGGTGGAAAGAGAGAGATGGAATACGGTCAACAGGGGTGATGTAGAGGATGAGAAAAGAAAAGGACGAGGAAGAGGAGTGAATGATGGTGGCAGAGGAGGAGAGATACGGGCCTCTTCACATCACACACTCTGGCCAGAGGATATCGAATACCTCACACTCTCACCCACTGCAATCACACTCATCTCAGCCACGCTCGCTTGTTATTCTGTGCACTCAATACAATCCCACACAGCACAATCCCACTCGGTACAGTCCCACTCACTCGTTATCGGTGCCCATGAGAAAGAAATCGGACGAATCACCCGTCGAGAAGAAGAGGCAGGGCATGGGCAGTATCAGGAACATGAGCGCTTGGGGAAAAGGTGTATGGGAAAACGGGGGGGAAGGGGGGTATGGAGGGGGGGGAGAGGAGAGAGGGGTCTTGGGTTTCATTACAGGACAGGCAGTGGCAATCAGGCGGCGGATGCGAGCTGGGAGGGGAGTTGTATGAAGAAAAGCAGAAAGATGAGACGACCCTAAGGGCGGTGCGTTGATGAAAGTAGACGATCGATCGTCAGTCGTGATCGATGTGCGGCTCAGTTACCCTATTTACTTCGTTGTAACTATGCTACAGTACGCTTTTGGCCAATTTCTCTACAGTGTGTGAATGCGACTGATCACTGATCGCAGGTAGTCTGTCAATTCTCAGCTGCGATCTTTACAACGTCGCGGTCGCCATGTTTCTCCAATCGATCTGCCCACTCGATCATGGGGATCGATATGTGCAGACGATCCTGCGATATTTGCACTTTCAACGCGTCCTAAGACTACTCTGCATTATCCTGAGAAGAGGCACGGGATGGGTAGTATCGGGTACATGATAGCCGGAGAGGATGTACAGTGGAGGGAAAGCAGCGTTGAGAGCTTGATTCACTAGAGACACTCGGGCATTCGCATGGGAATTGGGCAGTATTATCAGGAACATCAGAGCCGGGGAGGGATGTAAATAAGCCAGGTAGGAGAAGAGAGAGAGAGAGAGAGAGAGAGAGAGGAGAGAGAGAGAGAGAGAGGAGAGGAGAGAGAGAGAGGAGGAGAGAGAGGAGAGAGAGAGAGAGAGAGAGAGAGATGAGAGAGAGAGAGGAGAGGAGGAGGAGAGAGAGATGAGGAGAGAGAGAGAGAGAGAGAGAGAGAGCGTGACTGTAGGACTTAGCCCCTTCCTCCTAGCCCTTTCCCCTCCCCCCACCTATATAATGGCCTCTCGGCCCTGAATCTAGTTCATTCTTCATTTGGTTCGTGCAAGCTACATTTTCGGCGCTCCCGCACTTCGCGCCGGCGCTCGCGTGCGCGGCCTTCGGCCGCGCGTTTGGGAAGACAAGCACTCAACAAAGCAAGGATTTCAACATGACAACAATCACATCCATGGCAACCACAAGACACTACACAACTCTACATGGAGAGGATTTACGCGCGCAGAAGAGGTGCGCCTACATGCGGTGCGCCTCAAGCTCACCTAGCGTTTCGCGCATGGTCATCCACATCAAGTGGATCACTGACGCGCGGTGGCGCCGACAACATCAACAGGAGTTCCACGTCCTCCTACTAGCGTCTTCAGATCCAGGGCCCTCTCAGCCAGCAGGGTGGCCGAGACCACTCCCAGGGAGGGCGCAACCTGCAGTGGCGATACATACGCGAATAGCGTTGACGCCGCCGCGTGACACTTTGCTCGCGGAATCTGAGAGAACGTGCTCGGTGGGGTCACCGACATGGAGCCATGCGACTCAAGGAGAACCAGTTCAAGGCTCTGTAAGCACTCCGTCAGCGACCACAGGTGCGCCAGGGTCTCCGTGGGCACTTCTTTCGTCTTCGGAGGCATCGCGGATGCTCGGGCTCGGTGGGACGACACTGCCAGATCGCGGGGGGAGGCGCAGGGCGAGGCGGAACGAACGGCGCCCACGGGTCCCCACCACCCGCCCCCACGAAACCAGCCCCAGCGGGCAGCGAACGATCTGGCCGCACGAGAGAGCCAACGGGATCATGCGGCAGGAGAGCAGCAAGAGGAGACACAGGAGCAGCTCGCGGTGCTGTTGGAGACGACGACTCCGCGTTGGAGCGATGCAGCGCCCTCTCTACGCCATCCAACCGCCCTCTCTACGCCATCCAACCGCCCTCTCTACGCCATCCAACCGCCCTCTCTACGCCATCCAACCGCCCTCTCTACGCCATCCAACCGCCCTCTCTACGCCATCCAACCGCCCTCTCTACGCCATCCAAACGCCCCCTCTCTACGCCATCCAACCGCCCTCTCTACGCCATCCAACCGCCCTCTCTACGCCATCCAACCTCCCAAGGACTCCATCCATCGCACATGGAGCCCGCTGCGCCGCCCCGCCGCGACCGTAGCGTCCCCGCCGGCCGCGCCGCCCACTTGCGTTTGAGCGCACCGGAGATTGCTGGCGAGAAGGGACGCGCTGGCGCAGGCGGTCAGGAGATCCGCCCCCACGACGAGGAGAGCAGAGCCGCTGGCGCTTCGATGAACGGGCCGAAGAAACGATGGACGAGGCGAACGGGCGGAAGGGGAACGATGCCGAGACGACGGACGATCAGGAGAACAATGACGGGCCGATTGACAAACGGGGGACTGGTGACGACGCGTCCGGCGATCTGGGGACTGGTTTCGCGATGCCGCACGCCGAGGCAAACGAGGAGATCGCGGCGAACGCGACGACGCTTCACGGCGTTCCTTTCGTGGGCTCGCTCGCCCGCCCTCTCGTGTCACTGACGAGCGGCGCCGAGGTGACCGCCCCCGGTGCGCCTCTGCCCCCGCGCCGGAGCGCACGCCGGGCCCCTCGCGCGTCTGTCCCTGCCGTGGCGGGGACTGCGACAGATCGCGGCGCTGGTCTTCGAAGCGGCGGCGGATCGAATCGGCCGCCTTCAGCGGAGCGACAGGGACACTCGCGGCGGGGCGCAGAGGAGGAAGCGGGCGGGGAGCAGGCTCGCTCTCCGCGGTACACTCGTGTCCTGGAGAGGCAGTCGGGCGCATCGCGGCGACAGGAAGATGCAGCGCAGAACGCGCACCAACAACGAGCTGTAGCGGCGCCTGTGGGACATGGGAGAATGGCAGCCAGCGAAGGGCGACCACGCGGGGGTGGCCCAGCGAACGTCTACCAACAGGCTGGAAGGCGGGCTTTAATGAACATGATTGAAGACTCTAACAGCAGCACATCGGACAGCAGTTTTATACCTGCCGAATCCACAGACTCCTCCTCAAGCTCTGAGTCTGTGGACGAGGCACTCCTCCAGACACCAGCAGGGACAGCAAGGGCAACACCCTCCCACACAGCGGGAGGAACCTCAGCTACACGTCCCCAGAGGAGAGGACCCCCAACCCCAACCCGCGCCGCATCAGCCAATACTGCCACACTCCCACCCCCAACCACAATTCCCCACATTCCAACCCTCACGCGAACCGCCCAACAGAATGCACCTGGCGGACACCCCACCCAGCCCCAACCCCATGAGGAGAAATCACCTGAGACCCTCGCCAAAGATGACACCCTATTCGCTGGGGTTACATGTTGGGATCTGTCTAAACTACGTGACAATCGCCACGCCTCTCTTTCCCGCCACCTTCCCCGAGATCAACGCAAGCTTTTCGCCACTACCATGCTGGTGCCTCTTCTGCGCTTAGCGAAAGACCCTGACTCGCACCCCGCCTGGGTGGTCCTCCTTTTTCTCGCACGCTTGACTCTTCGCCAACCCTCACCTAGGCGACCGGATTGGCAGACGGTAACCACGCGACTTACCCAATTTCTGTCGGGGGAGTGGGACAGGCTGTACCACGAACAGACACCAACCACCAACCACCAAGATACCAACCTGATGACATCGGCGTCATTGCCCGCGCTGAAGGGCTTGCACAACGTGGCAGCCTGCGACGGGCTGTGATGGCCCTTGAAGCCACTCCAGTCTGCACACCGTCCACACCCGTATTAGAGGCACTGCTCCAAACACCCACCCGCCCCATCCACGCTTCCAGACTGGACATTCCCCACACCAGAACCCCACCTGTCAGCACCGTTTGAGATCTTCTCCAAAGTGCTAGGGCGCTGTGAGATGGCAGTCGGGGCTGGCCCCTCGGGAACTACCTTTGAGCACTTACGGGACTCGGTGCTGATCAACGCCTCTGTGGGAAAGCACCTGCACGCACTAATCAACACAATCCTCACGGGGAAATTGCCACCCGCAGTAGCAGAACTCCTTACCTCCTCGCGCCTAATAGCACTCACCAAGCCAGATGGAGGGACGCGGCCGATAGCCATAGGCGAAAGCATCACACGCCTCTCCGCTAAGACAGCCCTAACCTTGACCGCAAGCGCTGCTCGCGACTTCTTCCTGCCTCACCAGTTCGGCGTAGCAGTCCCGGGCAGGCGGAGGCAATCATCCACATCACCCGTACCTACCTCACCGTGAGCCTGCGCGCTTTGGTCCTACAAGCGGACTTAGCGAATGCCTTCAACAGCGTCGACCGTGCTGCCATCGCAGCATCCCTCCGCGGATCCACTCTGGCCCCACTGTTGCCCCTCGTGAAGCTGTTTTACGGCCAACCCTCAGCCTTGTGTCTGGACGCCGGTTTTTCACAACCACCACTCCTGAGCATGACCGGAGTGCGGCAGGGGGATCCCCTCAGCCCGCTGCTGTTTGCGGCAGCCATGCACCCTGCGCTAACACAAACGGCGGAGGCCTTCCCGTCCGTGGTATGCCTGGCATACGCGGACGACGTAACATTCTTAGGGGAGGCAGGGGAATGTACGGCGGCTTTCAATCATTTCACAGACAAACTCACCAGTATTGGGCTGCGGCACAACCCATCAAAGTGCGCGGCTTGGTCACAAGCAGGGCAGCAGACCGCACCATTACCCATCGGCGTGCCGTTCACTGACGCGGGTGTAAAGGTTTTGGGCAGTTTCACTGGCAGCAACGATACCACTGCAGCCTTCTTGCGCGACACCCTCAACACAATGGGAAGGCCATTACGCCTGATAGCGCAAATGGACCCGCAGTTGGCCTCCCTCCTGCTTACCCGCTGCATCTCGCGCCGCATCTGCTACATCGCCCGCACAACTCCACTGTCAGCCCTGCCAGTTGAAGAGTGGTCGGACTGGGGCAAACGGTTGTTTGAAACGCTGCTCACAGCTTGTGGGATACGCCACCCGAGGGGTGAAGCTGAAATTACACGTACCTGGGCCCAAGCTTCACTCCCGGTCTCGCTTGGAGGGCTTGGCCTGGCGGACCCCTCGGTGGAAGGACGCGTTGGTTTTCTTGCCAGCTACACACAGGCCGGGCACCTACTCACCTCTATCGACGAAGCGGCGGTCGGTGCTCTCGCGGATACTCGTGCCATGATGCGCGGACCTCACCAGAACACGGCACCTCTCTTTGACTGGTTGGAAAGGTGCGAGGAGGCATTGCCGGAGGATGGGAAGGAGTTGCTGCAGAGCGAACGGATTGACCCTAAATTAATTAACCTGCAGCACGGGCTCGCCGTGGCAGTCCAGGGGCAGCGCTATGCCGAGCAGGTTCAGGACACACGCACGATGCAGCCCAACCCACTCATGGGACACACCCAGCGAATGCTATCCCTCTCGGGGTACGGGGCTGGGGATTGGCTGCACGCGGTCCCCTTCAACTCCTCGCTGCGCCTTGCCCCAGCACACTTCGCCAACGCGCTGCAGTTCCGCATGGGACTGCCCTCCTCGGCCCCGGGCGCCTGCGACTGCCGCAATAGGGTGGCAATCACCGACAGGAGGCTGCCCAACCACCTGCTCCGCTGTGACACGGGGGGGGGGGACGGACTAACACACACAACGAGCTTCGCGACGAGTGTGTGCGCATGGCGGGGGACGCGGGATTCATGACACACAGCGAAACGACAGCTTTCTGCCCGGTCACTCGAAAGAAAGCCGATATAGCCATACGGGACCGGTCTTCAGGGGCTGTTTGGATAGGGGACGTGACGATCACGGAACCCATTAGCACCCGCGACCCCAACGCGATCAAAGGAAGGGGCTGAGCGGCACGGGAGGCTGCAGATAAGAAAATCTCTGACTACGAGGGCTCCACGGCCTCGTGGGTCGGTTTCTTCCCCCTGGCCGTGGAGACTTACGGCTGCCCTAGCGAGGAGGTCCCTAAATTCCTAAAGCTCCTTGCCGACACCGCAGCCCGTAGGCACTTCAACGCAGCCCCCTCCTCCTACCAGGCTACAAAGCTGGTGAGTGCTACACCAGTTCCGCCAGCGGTGGTCCGTGGCATTGCAGCGCGGGCAGTCTGTGAGCTTCATGACTAAATGCAACCCACCTGTGGGGATGAAGGGGCGGGGTTAGTACCTACGATACATGTTCCAGGTGCCTTATTCTTCCGTGCATGTCTGTACCCTTCTGGTTGCTAATACAAGGACCGCTTGAGAGAGAGAGAGAGATATGCATTAGATCCCCGTGCGGTTAGCTTTCACCTTGCATGCCTGTATAACCTTGTATCAGTCAATGAAAGGGCCATTCGAGAGAGAGAGAGAGAGAGAGAGAGAGAGAGAGAGAGAGAGAGAGAGAGAGAGAGAGAGAGAGAGAGAGAGAGAGAGAGAGAGAGAGAGAGAGAGAGAGAGAGAGAGAGAGAGAGAAGGGTTGTACCTGAAAGCATGGGCCACCAGTTGTTGTAAAGTACACATCCCTGCAGAGAGACACGTGCAGGCGCCCATGCAGAAGCACATACGGAGACACATGCAAACACACACGCAGAAGCACGTGCACAAGCACATGCAGGAACATGCGCAGACACACATTCAGACAAGTTGACGCATAAAGCACAACCATTGATACTATGGTTTAAATTTTCCTGCACAGCACTTTGGGTCTTTACGAGAGGCTATTTATGATATTGTCAAGAAGGAAATACCTAGCATGTTATAAAAATTGGAAAGACCCCGTAACGACTGAGGAAATGGCGTCTGCTTGCAGATTCCAAAGTACAAGACAGCAAAACTTGCTATAACACGCCGAGGCTCTTGCTGTTAAGTGAAGCAAGAGTATGGAATAGTCTATGCTTTGGTGTGAACCAAAGATAAACATGAACTACATGCCAGCAGCAGCGGAAAAACGTGGGGGCGAGCTGGTATTTGAGAATTCTCAGAAACCAGCACTCATTCGGAATGACTAGGCGTAAAGGGCATGTAGGCGGTCAATCAGGCTGAAAGTGAAAGCCACCAGCTTAACTGGTGAATGACTTTCAACACCAATTGACTTGAGTAAGATAGAAGAAGGTGGAATTTCTTGTGTAGGGATAACATTCACAGATATACGAAGGAAGGCCAAAAGCGAAGGCACAAAGCAGCAAACACACTCATTGAGACAGCAGGCACAAAGCTACTTGCACGTACCAGGAGTTGCCCCGCAAGCCAACTACTGAGAAGGGAATTTACCATGAACTAGTCTGAGCATCCAGCATTGAACATTTGACAGCAGCCGGAATCGAACCAGTGACTTCAAATGAGCAGAACGTACCAGCAGCTGCAAGCCGATGCCCACTGAGAAGAGAAATGCCAAGCCTGCGAGTCTGAGAGGAGAGAGGAGAGAGTGGAGGGCGAGGAGAAAGAGGGAATGTGAAGAGATTGGATGGCCTCTCAGAAGCTGGAATAGGCAGAAACAGGACGGAGAGGAAGATGGAAGAGATCGGAAGAGACAAATACGAGAGAGGGAAGCAGGCAGCCAAGGTTCGTGAGAAAGGGAAGAAGGCAGAAGAGGTAAGGAAAGAAGAGAAAAGAGGCAAGGGACGAAGAGAAACGAGGCAAGGGACAGGGGAGCAGGAACGCAAGTAACGGGTAACGGAGCTCACGCTGAGAAGAGACCAGGAGGTGGCGGCAGCAGGTGAGAACGCGTGGAGGTAGGCAGTGATAGAGTGCGGGGCGAGTGGGAGAGGAGTGACGGCAGCGGGAGGAAAGAGGGAAGAAGAGAGAGAGGACAGAGGGACGAAAAAGGGAGGGAGGAGGGCGGGAGGAAGGAGGGAGGAAGGAAGGCGGGAGGGAGGAAGGAGGGAGGAAGGGCACGCACAGACGCAGCAGGGGGATAAAAAAAAGGGATTGATGACGATGACAGGTGATGAGGTAGTCAGGTGGTATGGGTACGAGCGAGGGAGGGGAGGAAGGGTATGGTGTTTTTAAGGCGCCTTGAAAAAATTGGGATGGATGATGGTGGGGTGGAGAGATGGGCAGGTACGCAGGTGGCATGGTTATGAGCGATGGAGGGGAGGGAGGGTATGGTGATTTTGAAGGCGTCTTAGAAAAAAAACGGGATGGTTGATGGTGAGGTGGACAGGTGGAGGTACACAGGTGACATGGGTATGAGCGAGGAACAAGAGGGAGAGTATGGTGTCTCTGAGGCGCCTTAGAGAAAACCGGGATGGATGATGGTGGGGCGGACATATGGACAGGTGAAGGAGGTGGCAAGGGTTACGGGTATGACCGAGGGATATGTATGGTGGGCTGAAATGGGAGGTACTGATGCGA